CAGTGATTTCGATATCATAACGAATATATACACGGGGTGTACCCCGTGCTTTATTTGGATGAGGGAGAAATATTTTCAGTCATTTAAGCAATATTTTAAGCAAACAGTTTCCTTAACATGGTTCAAGCAGGAAAATACAAGTTGTAAGTGTACCAGGAAGAGAGTAAAACGCGAGTGGTGAAACTTTGTAATTCGCGCCTAAAACTACTAGGCAACTTAACATTTTATACTTGTGGATTGTTAGATTGCTCCCTACTAAAGGGGGAAGGTTGTCAGTATTAAAGGGTTTTCGTTCTGTTGTTTTTCACTTTCTTTATCGATATTATTGTATAATTTGTTACACTGTCCACTTATAACGAGGGTACGGTATCTCTACATTTTTTATGTTCTTCATTATTTTGTTTAATTTTCTTCATCAAAGGGTTTTGTATACTGTTTTTCTACTTTAAATGGTGTTTTATATGTTCACTGTGTGTTTTGTCTCTATATCTATGTATATCAGTAACAAACACATTCAACTTAAAACATCTTTAAAAGACAAACAATGCTACTGTGGGTTGAGTACATTAGATCAAAATGATTTTGAGGCCTTACCATGTTATTATAGTTTACATTGTCACGTTTATTTTATGACTGTGCATCTTAAAAGTAGCCTTACAGTGTAGCTTCATCGCAAAAGGATCTGTCTTATGGCTGTTCTATTCAAAACACAGTGCGCCTTCTGGATGCTTTCCATAACTTATTGTATGAGGAACTGTTAAATAAATGATTAACCTTTGACGATTTATTATAAATATAAAAATACTTCAAGTATAGAGATTCACTCGTTGTTTTACAGTCCAATAAATCGACTTAATATGAACTCATCTATCATATGACTTGCTATTACACAAGCCCCCCCCCCCCACTGGCACAGCGGAAAGTCTGCGGTGCACAAAAAGTTATTTCAAATCATCTCCAAGTGTTAATATCTTTCTGAACTCAAAGCTTAAGCAATGTCTGAGTAGAAGCAACGTATTCATCCCTGCTGCTTTCCATAATCTATCTATTGTGCGAAAACAATAGCTTTGGCACCTGCTTCAATAATCCAATCAAACAGTTGTTTGAGGTATGCGACAGTTGAATGGAAATTACTACAAGCCTTATCTTAGTAAATTCATACTTTATTGGCTTCATTTCTAGACAGAGATCCTTCCAGATTATGCTGCGTATTACTGTTCCTGCTCACAGGGACGGATTTTGACACTGATCTTTGTGATCGTGGATTATCGCCTGTAACAAAACGTCACTTCTTGCTTACCTCGACTGCAGTACGATTTTTTCAAGTGTCTTTCTTGTTGGCCCTGGTACTCCAAGTTGATCCATATCCCCATGCCATCGAGCATAAGAGATACACTTGTCTGGAAATTCTAAATACCCGATCTGAATACATCTTTATAATATAAGTGTATTTTGCATCAGAAAGGGGGTTCTTATATAGCTTTCCCAATAGTAAACAATTTTCGTTGTCGTCAAACTATGTAACACCAAACTATTTCAAAACGTAGTTTTCCTACATGCCATTTTAACATGATCTTATATCGCACGTGGTGGTCATATGAATTGATGACTTGCATAGTTTATTAGTTTGAAGTTAAGCACAAAGCTACACAATGGGCTATCTGTGTTCTGCCCACCATGGGTATCGAAACTCGGTTTCTAGCGTTGTAAGTCCACAGACATACCGCTGTGCCACTGAGGGCGACTTGCATAGTCAAATTCGTTTTGATATATACCCAGTGGCGTAGGGTATAGTGACTGTTCCAGTAAAAATGCATCAACATCAGGAAAAGCAGAAGAATGCATAAAATTTAATCCAAAACCCTAGAGCTTCCAGAGTCCTGGACCCTAGCCTCTTCCCTCGGGTTGTTTTGAATTTCGCGCAAAGTTACACGAGAGCTATCTGCTCTACCCATCCCTAATTTAGAAGTGAAAAACTAGAAGGAAGCCAGCTAGTCATTACCATTTACCGCCAATTTTTGGGCTACTCTTTTACCACCGAATAATTGGATTGACACGTCATATTATAACGCCCCCACGGCTGATAGGGTGAACATGATTGATGGGACGATAATTCGAGCCCCTTCCCTCGGTCAAATAAAACTTGGGCCTCCCCAATTTTAATTTGCCTCCTATACCTCTGTAACGTATTCAATCTTGTATATTTGAAAAAATAATACTGTTTGGAGTGAAAAGTTCAATAGCTGACTCGTTTGGTCAATCCATTCCTTAAGTAGCTTATAAAGTCTCAACTACTTGAAGAAAGAAAATGTCAGTCGTTTAAGTTTTACTGTCTTAATTAATGGCTCAACTAAACTAGGAGTCCGATAAAAAAATTTGTAAAACTGACCACAAACAAAAGTGTCGTCTAATATCGCGCATGCTAGGCCTTGTTTTTCACATGCATTAGTTGGATTATATGTGATAAACAAGATATCCCCAACCCTTGTTTTTCATATGCATTAATTGGATTATATGTGATAGACGAGATATCTCCAACCCTTGTTTTTCATATGCATTAGTTGGATTATATGTGATAGACGAGATATCTCCAACCCTTGTTTTTCATATACATTAATTGGATTATATGTGATAGAAGAAATATCTCCAACCCTTGTTTTCCATATGCATTAGTTGAATTAAATGGGATATCCCCAACCCTTGTTTTCCATATGCATTAGTTGAATTAAATGTGATATTCCCAACCCTTGTTTCCTTGTCTTATATCGATACTTCTGACGTATTTCTTTTTTTTTCTATAAATTTAGTATTGCTCTCTTTCTTTATATACATATACAACTATCTATTCCGAAGTTCTTGACATCACAAACTGAGTAAATTACGTATTGGCTGATCTAGGATATAATTTATCGTTATCCAATATTATATTGTGTTTTGTAAAAGCAAAGTCCACCGAGGGGAATCGAACCCCTGGTTTTAGCATTGTGAGCCCTAAGAGATGGGACAAATTATATATTATAAACGTAAGTAAATCTTATCCACTGACAACTCGACAAGAGAAACACCTTTTTTGACAAATTTCTCCTTAAAATATTTTATTTGGGGTAGCAATCACGAAAGTAAGACTCTCATTCGATATCAGTCACCTGTGACTAATTACATGACAAGCCCCAGTAGTTAACCTTCTCGGTGAACAATATCCCGTAACGGCCGTTTCTTCAAATACTTTTTTAGTCAACGTTTCTTCGAGTCATACAACACGAGAAATCTTGTCAAATTCATATTTACCACGTTCACATAAGAAAACAACAATTGAGCATAAATAATTTTACGTATTTCTCTCCTGCAGCCAAAAATAATAAGTTTGAGTATCGTCAATATCTGAAACTTTCTTCTTTGAAAAGTACAGATTAACACGAGTAGCAAGCACCGTGTATTAAAACATGATCCTCACGCAAGCTCTATAGTTCTGAAAATAACCGTTGGCTTGATATTAAAATAACGGCACAATAAAGAAATTATTCGTTTTGGTGACAAGATTCGCACCCGAAATCTTCTATTATAAGCTCTTAAAATATACATTTTTTATATTTAACAAGATGTTTTAATTTGTACATTTATATTTTGGTTTCTTACTGGTTAAACTTTACCATCTAAATAAAGGAACATTGTTCTTCCATCCTAAGATTGTACATTAGGGTTTATTATTCGAAAATAGGTTTGCTGGTAGTGTTATACACATTTATGATGTATTCAACAATCTGTTACTCACCACACTGAACCTATAAATATGATTTGAAGAATGTAGCATTGATGCTATTAATTTGTTATTCTAAGTTATTAACTAGGCAAGTTATTTAAAGCAACAATATATATATATATGTAGCCCAATCTATCATTCCACTCAACACGTGTTACATATGATACCAACCTAACAAATTCGGTCAGCGTCTCTACCTGAATATTTAGTTGGAATTGTCTTTCATTCATAAGATGCCAGGGTCAGATCCCTATTAAATTTTACTTTACATGATTGTAACCCAGAATAACACTCACTAGTCATGTTTACAAACCCTTTGAAACTAAAGTCACCGATTAAAAATCCAAACAATGATTTACTTAATGAAGTGTGAACATAGTTATTTCTCCAATGTTACTAGAATGTAAAATAAAAAAAATCGTATTTTTTCTAATATAAATTGATATTCCATTCCACATAGTAAAATCATTACAGAATAGTCTGTGTTAAACGATTTTATTGTAAGATTGCAATAGAATACATACAGGGGTGTTGATGCGCCTGGAACATCTTTAAGTAATGAAAATACAGGTCAGCAGTTTCATCAGTAAAATCAAAGTAGCAACGAAAGTAAAAACACCTGAACACTGATAACTTAATATCCAAATATTTGGTTGCAGACACATAAACAACATATAACAAAATTTATATTTTCAAACAACTTTAAGTCACTCACCTAGTCAAGAACGTTAGCAATTTAACAAATTCACTTGTGCAAATTTCTTATATACATTTGCACTATCAAATGAAGTTTAGCATGCTCTAAATTATTTCACTAAAATATTGACACCGATTAGTGGGATGGAAAATATTTTGAAATTCAAACAATAAGAAGATCTATTCAATAGGAAAAAACACAGACAGACAATGGAATGATCTTAGAAACATAAACAATGATGAAATATTCTTCAGAAACTTAACTTCTAAAAACAAACAGTACTGTTTTTTTTTTTAAACTCAATATCTTGATGTCCCTTTGATTACTTTGAAAGTAGACTATAAAAACAAAAACGTTTTTTCAGAGTGTCTTAATGACCAGTTGTGTGATGATATAACCCTTTGATTACATTAAATGACACAGTACAATATCACTTTTAAAAACATACATTTTTATTAGCAAAATGTTTAGGGCAGAATTTCCTCCTTCAGGTGTACAAGAATCTGAAAAACTAGAATAAAAGTAGTTTATTATGCTTCTATTTCCTCAAGAGGACTTTCCTGCTCAAAAATGTTGTGCTAATAAAACTACATGTTACCAAGTGGAAATGGTATTACAGCATGTCATTTCCTGTATACCATTAACAACCACAGTGTTCTTATAAGTTTTATCTCTTAACATTTACTTTGCTTTTCTGGACCAATTAAATTATTTTACATTTAACCACAATGGTTACCTGTTGTGTTTAAGGACGAAGAAGGAAAGTTCTGTAAACTATAAATGAGAAACCTAATCGGCAACACGTGAAGACAATGGTTAACAATTTTCAATTCATGTTGTTTATGCACTTGCTTTAAAAATATTGTTATTTCTAATCACCATACGGTTATCAAAATTGCATCATCCAAAAAAATAAACAAATTTACTTAGAAACTTTTACTGACACACGACTAACTGGTTATTAAGCTTCTATTACTAATGCATACATAAACCATTTGAAATACAGAAAAAATGAATTATTTACCATTACTGCTAATCTTTTTTTTATGGGACTCAAGATTTTGAAACAATGCTTAACAGATACCATCTTTGTAAGTTAGAATTCTTTTTTTTTTTCCACTTAAACCTGTTTGTTGATAGAAATAATGATCATAATTTACAAACTTAACACTATTTCCTTACACTCATAGATCTTATGTATCATTATAGATTTCCACAGATCTGAAATAACATTCCTACTTCAAGTAAGTTTTGATAATTCATAAACGTGAGAAATGATGACACATTAAATTAAGATGATTCTGGTTTATGTGATGCTTTGAAGGTCATGAGTCAAAACACAGAAGGAGAAAGGCTATAGCTTAATATTTACTGATTTTATCATATGCCATTCAAAACCTATCTTGTAGAAACAGGACAGATTACATTCTAGGTCTTAATTTTAGCATTTCAGATGTCTGGAACTCTATTATAGTAAATAAAATCAATGGCTTTTAGCCTAAATAAATGAAAAATACTTTTTTTAACAGCAACATCAATGTTATTCACTATTCAGTTTCTGTTAATGAAACATCATCATTGTGTTCTTCATCGGCCATTTCATCCTGTATGTTTTTATCTCCATCTCCATTAGCATTCCACACTCCTTTCTCTTCAGTTTTGCCCTTGATGTGCTTGTCTCGCTAAAAATAAAAATTAGGTTTAACTAAAAGCTCTTAGTGTTACATTTCTTAGGAACATAATCAATATGAAAATCAGTCAAGCATTGATAAATCAGCATCAGTTAATAATTTCCTAAGTTTTCTCACTATTATTTAATCTCTTTATTGATGGTCTTTGAGAAAACTTGTGTTGGAGGAACAATACAACAAGCCTCACATCTGACTCTATAACAACTGTCCAGCCTTAGTCATAACAGGTTGAAGATTTGACATACAAAAATCATTAATGTTCAGTATATTCAGCAGTTCACAGGAATGAGTATCCTTGAATGAAAATAAAGATTTTGGAGCAATATGCCCTCCCCTCCTCACATTTGTAGATTCACAATTACTGATTACTGCAACTTTCAATTTCTGACATATCATTTAGTTGCCCATAGAACTGGTACATTAACATGAATAACCAATACCATCAATTACACCAACTAGTGTCAAGTAAAATAACCATCAGTATTTCCAATTATTCCATCTATCCAAATAATCAAAATATTTCGATTATAATTTCTCATTATTATTTTCAATTAATCCAAGTCTGTTTGGCTTAATCCATTAGCGTCAGAGTCAAGAAAATAATCAACCAATGAAAATTACTCTTATAAATAAATAATGTGACTGTGTACCAATGTTCCCTCTAATTTTATCAATCCACATGCGAAATGAATTTTTCTATATGCACCTACCAGTGTCAAGGTAATGTGTGGATGTGCACTACCAGTTCTTTTCTTTCTTTCTTCCTTTATTTTTTTTTTGGGGGGGGGGGTATATTTAACCCATCGACCCTATTGAATCATTAGGCCAATTTGCAATGTTACCAGTTGGTTAATTGGGCTTTACACCTATCTATTGCCAGGGTCATTAAGGCCATCAACGTGTTGAGACTCCTCACCATTACCGAAGATGTGTACAGTACTTGATTGGTTGTTGTGTAGCCACACAGCTTAGAGGGAACACTGATGTGTATGACACAACAGCCATTACTACTTCTGCTCATGCATTCTGCTTCCATACAACTCACAAATGTGAGGATGGGCCTTAGTGTTCGTTGGTTACTTATCTAGTCAGAGTGATACCCACTGCTTGTGTTTACCTTCTTTGGACTAAAGAAAAGTGTATCTTTAATATAACATATTGTTTATGTTTACTTGTTACTAGTTACATACATAAGTTGTGAAATTTACAAAAAGATTGTTTTAATTAGGAAGTTATGGCAAGTTAATATTCGTTATTACTTAAGTAGAAAAATGCAAAAGTGATAAAATAAAGAAATAAAACTTTTTGAGAAAAATCATCTTTAAAACTATGGTAGTAATTTATTTACATGACAATGTTTCAAGCAAATGCTCTCTTTTTCGAGCCAGAAACAAATTACTTATCCACTCAAAAAAAATGTTGACTGCAGAATAGCTTAATCAATTAACAATGTTTACCACAAATTACTAGACATGAACTAAACAGTATTTACACAGACAGGACTATCTTATAATTACAACTAACTCTCCCTAGATAGGAAGCACTGAAAATGGAAATCAAAAGTATTGCTTTAACACTGCCTAGTAAAGTAAACTAAGCTGTAGATTTATTACCTTTTCAGCACATTTCTACCTGTATTGTAAGATATAAACTTATTAATCAGTTCATCATGGCTTTCTCAACTTTCATCTGCATTAACAACATCTTAAAAGCTTATGATGTGTTATATATTTAGAGTTGTTTATTATTTCATACTGATAACGGAATCAGAAAGAAATTCTGAAAGGTCAGTAATGAAGGGTAGTTCGAAAATGTCTAAAAAAAAAAGCTGAAAATAGAAATATTAGTCTTGTGCGAGAACAGTTGTTTAGATTAATGTAATTTATTACCGAGCCTGATGATTAAATGATTGGCAAGTACCATTTATCTCCTAGTTCTATACATTTCCTTTTTTCTTCTTCTGAAAATGAAAGTTGTTTTGCAAGCCATTATAATTTAACAAAAATACTTACAATGGCATCCTGCTCAGCAAACTTTTCAAACATGTTCCGATAAGTATTTTTCTCTCTTTGTTTGTATTCTTTGATCTTGTTGTTGCACAATAAGATCTGGTTTCGAGCAGCCTTGTTGTTGTTATCAAGCTTTAGAACTATTTCAAAGTCTTCTTTTGCTACATCATAATCTTTTAAACCCATCCTTGCCTGAAATATTGATATATAAGCAAAAATATCCAGTGATTTATGTAGAGTCTGGAGTACTACAGAGAATACATGGAATCTTATCACAATAAATAACATACATGAGAAACTAAAATGGTGCAAATATTTAATATTTTAAACTCTTGGTGACAAATTGCCTTTAAGTTAAAAATTGGTTCTTTTAACTGAAAAATAAAAAGGCACCATTACAAAAATAATGTTTATTTTTGCCATTATTAACCAAGCCCTTAGTAAAACCATACACTGAATTCAGTTTAAAAAAAATTCTTGTCAGTATTTTTATTTTTTTAAATACTTCCATAATATATAAACTTAGTATTTCTAAGATAAATTTTTGGAATATTAAATTTATTCATTATATCTACTATTGTGCAGCTATATAATGTGAAGAACTGAATAGTGGCCAATGACATTATTTCTTCACTTCATCTATCCAGTGTACAGGTTTTGCTCATAGTGACTACAAAGCACATTCATACCAACAGTATGTTTGTTAAATACTTGCATGTAACCACCACATAACCATGAAACTATGCATGCTATAACTGAATTTAGTTGTTTAACTTCATGAAATTTGAAAAGCTTTTAGTAGACATTACTAATCCATTGCACACAAAATAGTAGAATCTGCTATTACTTTATATGTGTGTGGGTAGGTCATCATAACCTGAAACAATTTCAAAGGGGGCACCCAGCAAGCAGGGTTTGAGAAATCCTGGCATAACTTCTAGAACCTCCTAAATGAAATCCATTTGTTTTTCTGTAAAACATTATACTTCATCTCATACTTTCTGTACCCTAACTCTAACTGTAATAAAATAAATGTACACTGAAACAAAAAGTTGAAACATACCAAACAAAATCAAATGGTTTAGAGTGACTGTATACTGTAACAGACAGTTATAATTAATTATCTTAACAGCCTCTAACCTTCTGAAACCTGTTTTAACTTACTTCTATGGTTTCAAGGAATCATGTAAAAAAAAATATGCTCTTTCTATTGGTTACAAACATGTCAGAGAAACAAACATTTTGACAGACAAAAATATAGTGATATCTCAGTAAAGCATGAAGAATGGGCATTCAAATTTTATTTCTGGCTTGTTAACATCTATAGTACATGTTTTCATCTTAGTTGTACATGCTGAAATGCATATGAGGGTAGAAAGAAAATGGAAAATTCAGAGCACAGGCATACACGACACAGAAATAAAGACTGAGAATTTGATTAAAATTTCCTTTTGAAATTAAAACTTAGATATCATAAAAATTTGAATTATAAACTGTTTTAATGCCAAGCTTACTAACATATATTAATAATAGTGTATTTCAATTCAATGTTGAATATAACTCTAAAAAGGTCACAACATATGCACCTTTACCTTCCAGTATGCATAGAGTTAAAATGTTCAACAACTACAAACAATACCATACTCACTTATCAAGAAGTATCACCTTGCTTGCCTCCAGTGTCCTTCATTGATCAAGATATCTTAAACTAATCATCATCTATAAACAATGCCTTATTTTCTTCCTGAAATCTTATGTGCAATATCTATATGCTTATATCTAAAAACAATTCTTTTCTTCCTTCTGGAGACCTTAAGCATATCAGCATCTAGAACATGGGTGGGCAAAATACAGCACACGGGCTGGATTTGGCCCATCTAACATTTCTGTCCTGTCAGCCATGATCCCAATAATTGTGGAAAGAACATAATGGGGGTCTTTAAACAATCGATGTTGTGGTAATTTAATTAATATAGTAGAAACGTTAGGCCCACGAGGACTTACCAAAATATGTGGAGGAGCCCCCTGTGAAAATTATTGCCCATCCCTGATCCAGAAGCAAAGCCTTGGCTCCTTTCAGACATTTCATACTGATCAACATCTACAAATAAGCCCTTGCTTCATTCCAGAGACTTTCCATTGATCAACATCTACAAACAATGCCTTGTTTTCTTCCAAAGACCTTACACTAATCAATATCTACAAATAAGCCCTTGCTTCATTCCAGAGACTTTCCATTGATCAACATCTACAAACAATGCCTTGTTTTCTTCCAAAGACCTTACACTAATCAATATCTATCTACAAACAATGCCTTGTTTTCTTCCAAAGACCTTACACTAATCAATATCTATCCACAAACAATGTCATGTTTCCTTCCGAAGACCTTACGCTAATCAATATCTATCCACAAACAATGTCTTGTTTCCTTCCAAAGACCTTACGCTAATCAATATCTATCCACAAACAATGTCTTGTTTCCTTCCAAAGACCTTACGCTAATCAATATCTATCCACAAACAAAGTCTTGTTTCCTTCCAAAGACCTTACGCTAATCAATATCTATCTACAAACAATTTTGGAAGGAAACAAGACGGACCTTACGCTTATCAATATCTATCTACAAAGTCTTGTTTCCTTCCAAAGACCTTACGCTAATCAGTATCTATCTACAAAGTCTTGTTTCCTTCCAAAGACCTTATGCTAATCAGTATCTATCTACAAAGTCTTATTTCTTTCCAAAGACCTTACACTAATCAATATCTATCTACAAAGTCTTATTTCTTTCCAAAGACCTTACACTAATCAATATCTATCTACAAACAATGTCTTGTTTCCTTCCAAAGACCTTACACTAATCAATATCTACAAACAATGTCTTGTTTCCTTCCAAAGACCTTACACTAATCAATATCTATCTACAAAGTCTTATTTCTTTCCAAAGACCTTACACTAATCAATATCTATCTACAAAAATGTCTTGTTTCCTTCCAAA